CCAAAGTTCATAATAGGCAATGTTCAGATATCTTGGTTAAAAGCATGTCAGCATTATTAAACCCTGATGGCATTGATTGTTGTTCATAATATCAGTCACTGGTTTGTTTGACAGGTAGGAAATAAAGCACAGCATTTAACCCACCTAATCAAATACCCATGATTTCTTAATTATACATTATTCGTCCAGCAACTTTCAGTCACTCATTTCCCTGGTCCAGACTCAGTTATTTACTGGCTGCCATGATATAGCAGGAAAATGGCTGACTGCAGCGTTCACAACATTCACTCACTCACTCTATTTCCAAAGTAACTGAGATCGCCTCAGTGGTCTAGTGCTAGAGCATCTGCCCAGGGAACGGAAGGTGGGGGTTTCGAACCAAAAAGACCTTAAAAGATGGTACTTGTTGTTATCCTGCCTGGCACTCAACATTAAGATGCTAAAATAAGGACTGGTCAGCTCAGAGTCTGTATACTGTGTCTGTGTGGGGTATTCATTTTAAATTCGGGCATGGCATCTCAGTCGGATCGCACTATAAAATCGGCATTAGTCCGAACTAGTACAAGCAGCCATACACACACACATATAAGTGCAATAATTCTGGACGCAACGTTTAACTCTATCTCACCTCACCACCACTCTTACGATTGATATCAATCTAGCAGTTAACGATTGCGCTAATTACACAGAAATATGTCTCGGCTTCATGCATGGCACTCACCTTGACCTTAAGTTATATGGAGTATAGCCCCCCTTTAAGGGTTGCTGGTTTGCCCTCTGCATGATACAGCTATTACTGTATTCGACTTAATAAGCACCCTGCTCTAATAAGTGCCCACAGCGATATTTGCTAATACAGTGGCTAGTAAACAATCCCAGTTTAGCACCCCTTCCAAATGATCAATGTACACAAGACTTATTTATTCGCGTATAATACTCACTTGTGTGTTATTTGCACCCTTAATTATGGGCAATTAAATCTTTGAAAAATATATCTGTCGTGTATAATAAACACAGACTTTTATTTTGTGGCTGTCAGCATAAACCACGAAATTTACGATCTTACAACTAATTTTGAGAGCGCCTTGTTCGCATATTATGTCGAATACGGTAAATCAACATTAACATCATCCTTGATAATAATCAAAGCCAGATTATTGTTTTTAAGTACCATTGAATGAGTCTGTTATGTCTAAAAAACTTTTTAAAAATATACAGCCCAATGATGTGGTAGTACCAGTAGGTCAACAAAATGAGATTCAGAAAATGCTTACATGGATGCGGATCTGCCAATCACCACAAAAATAATAATTCCCAGTGATACTAAAATAAGAAAAAGATAATACAAATAACCTACAACACTTTTCAACAATACTATTGTTATAGTTGTAACTGCTGAATGAGGAGATACAGACATCTGCTGTACTTAAATCCATCATTGCCATGGCTACAGCCCATGAATCTGGCTTTAAAATCCTTATCTTATCCTTATTCTCCTGATCTGGCTCCATCAGACATCCTCTGTTTCTAAACATGGAAAAAGTTCTCGTTGAAATCCATTTTCAACTGGAACAATGACATCATAACAACTGTGGAGAACTCTTTTGAATGCCAAAGGAAGCACTTCTACTAAAGAAGGAGAAAATCCCTCCAACATTTTGGCAAATGTATGAATGTGGAAGGGGGCTATGTTGAAAATATTTAATTCTAGTGCCGTCAGGTCAAGTCTTTCTATCTGAGGCTCAGAACTTTTCAATCACCCTTGTACTTAAATATGACTGAAAAGTAGGAGTTAGTAACATTGCATTTGAACATTCTTATAACAATATCGCTTAAATATTTAATGACGATCTTAAACTGTAAACTTTAAAATCTTGTTGGGGAAGTCTAACTAATCCTAACTCTACCAGTTACGTACCATTCATGCATGTCGTTTGAGCATTATTCACACTTCAAATCAAACACACTACGGCCAAACTGAAAATGACCTGAAAGATTCAAGTAAATCCGATAACAGAAACCAGCTGTTCAGGAGAGGGGCTTGTGATCACACCTTTAATTCAATCATCGTCACCCATCCTTTCCTCTCGTCTTGAGTTAAATTCAATAATGTTGGCAAAACCCACTTTCCTCTGGCAGCCAACACCTATCTCAGTGATTCAGACATTAGGGATAAACGGCTTCCATTGAACCTGTTGGATGAGACAGACTCCTTCCGAGAATTCTGACATGTTGAAGTGAGCGAGGGGAACTTATTTTTGTTACTGGATGCATAAATAACCCCTTGACATGTTTTAAACAGTTTACGGGATAGGACGTTGTGTGATAGTACTGTTTCAGGTGAATAAATACATGGTTATATTAGGAGAAAAAAGTCTCAAGTAAAACTAATATAGAGGAACACATGTGCCTGCTTATTTTACTGAAAGAAAAATGTGTGAAAATCATTCATCAAAACGTTCAGGTGTTATGCATTGCTGAATAATTATTTGAAAGGGTTTATTTTTGCCTTCAAGGTGTATGGTTTTAATAAATGTTTATTTTTCTGCAAAAGCTGTATCTGATTTGAGTTGTATACCTGGTAGGCAAATGTGATAGCTGGGCAGTATTTATCACGATCACAAATCTTTTGTCATGTCCTGTGGAACATCGTTAGACTGAAATAAGTTAATTCGACTGATTTTGTTGACGTGAGGTGGGTGTGAGCCTGCTTTCAGCATTGCGTCACAGTTTGGGCAAAGAAGGACTTGTACCTCTAAATCAAACCCAAGTATCTTGAGTGAAAAAGCCAATGCTTTAGCCATGAGGCTATCCCCCAAGTCACCTCCACACTCACTTATTCTCTCAAGTCACCCCCACACTCACTTACTCCCCCAAGTCACACGCACACTCACTTACTTCCCCAAGTCACCCCCACACTCACTTACTCCCTCCAGTCACCCCCACACTCACTTACTCCCTCCAGTCACCCCCACACTCACTTACTCCCCCAAGTCACCCCCACACTCACTTACTCCCTCCAGTCACCCCCACACTCACTTACTCCCTCCAGTCACCCCCACACTCACTTACTCCCTCCAGTCACCCCCACACTCACTTACTCCCCCAAGTCACCCCCACACTCACTTACTCCCCCAAGTCACCCCCACACTCACTTACTCCCCCAAGTCACCCCCACACTCACTTACTCCCTCCAGTCACCCCCAAAGTCACTTACTCCCTCCAGTCACCCTCCCCCCCCACACACACACTCGCTTACTCCCTCCAGCCACCCCAGACACACTCACTAACTTCCCCCTAGTCACCCAACACACACTTGCTAACTCCCCCCCAAATCACCCCACACACACTCACTTACTCCCTCCAGTCACCACACACACTCACTTACTCCCTCCAGTCACCACACACACACACACACACACACACACACACACACACACACACACACACACACACACACACACACACACACACACACACACACACTTACTCCCTCCAGTCACCCCACCCACACTCGCTTACTCCCTCCAGTCACCCCACCCACACTCACTTACTCCCTCCAGTCACCCCACCCACACCCACTTACTCCCTCCAGTCACCCCACCCACACTCACTTACTCCCTCCAGTCACCCCACCCACACCCACTTACTCCCTCCAGTCACCCCACCCACACTCACTTACTCCCCCCCAGTCACCCCCACACACTCACTTACTCCCTCCAGTCACCCCACCCACACTCACTTACTCCCTCCAATCACCCCACCCACACTCACTTACTCCCTCCACTCATCCCACCCACACTCACTTACTCCCTCCACTCATCCCACCCACACTCACTAACTTATTCCCGCCAGTCACCCCACCCACACTCACTCCCTCCACTCACCACACCCACACCCACTTACTCCCTCCATTCACCCCACCCACACTCACTAACTTACTCCCCCCCAGTCACCCCCACACACTCACTTACTCCCTCCAGTCACCCCACCCACACTCACTTACTCCCTCCAGTCACCCCACCCACACTCACTTACTCCCTCCAGTCACCCCACCCACACTCGCTAACTTACTCCCCCCCAGTCACCCCCACACACTCACTTACTCCCTCCAGTCACCCCACCCACTCACTAACTCCCTCCAGTCACCCCACCCACTCACTAACTCCCTCCAGTCACCCCACCCACACTCACTTACTCCCTCCATTCACCCCACCCACACTCACTTACTCCCTCCAGTCACCCCACCCACTCACTAACTCCCTCCAGTCACCCCACCCACACTCACTTACTCCCTCCAGTCACCCCACCCATACTCGCTAACTTACTCCCCCCCAGTCACCCCCACACACTCACTTACTCCCTCCAGTCACCCCACCCACACTCACTTACTCCCTCCAGTCACCCCACCCACACTCACTTACTCCCTCCAGTCACCCCACCCACTCACTAACTCCCTCCAGTCACCCCACCCACACTCACTTACTCCCTCCAGTCACCCCACCCACACTCGCTAACTTACTCCCCCCCAGTCACCCCACCCACACTCACTTACTCCCTCCAGTCACCCCACCCACACTCACTTACTCCCTCCAGTCACCCCACCCACACTCGCTAACTTACTCCCTCCAGTCACCCCACCCACACTTGCTCACCCCCCCTAGTCAACCCTACACACTCACTAACTTCCCCCCAAATCCCCCCCACACACTTGCTAACTCCCCCCCGAAATCACCCCACACACTCACTAACTTCCCCCCAAATCACCCCCACACACTTGTTAACTCCCCCCCAAATCACCCCACACACACTCACTTACTCCCACCATTCAACCCACACACACTCACTTACTCCCTCCAGTCACCCGACACACATTTGCTAACTCCCACCCCCCCCCAAATCACCCCCCACACACTCGCTAACTTCCTCCCACTCACCCCACACACTCACTCACCTTGTCCCCTCAGCTACAGCTGTATGTGTGATCTTGTATGTTTCAGATGTGTGAAGATGACCCACATCATGACCGGCCAGACAGTGATGAAGTTTGAGTCCGTCCATTCTCCGATTGTTTCCATTGTGGTGAGTATGTGAGAGCCACCTATGTGTTAAGTGTCAAATCTCAATCTGTTAGCTGTGTTTAGTGTCAAATCTCAAGCTGTTAGCTGTATTTAATGTCAAATCTCAAGCTCTGTTAGCTGTTTTCTACAAAAAGGTAGGTAGAATAGCACCCAATAGCCATGGCACCCTTTGGACTTCACATCATGGGTTCGAATCCCAGATTCACCACAATTACCGTCCTTAGTCTGTCAGCACCAAGTGGGAGGATCTGTATCTCTAAAAGGGGCTACTACAGGCCTTGATTATTTAAAGGGGGATGATATATGGGAGGTGTTCTTGAGGGAGATGTATAGGCTTGGATGTACTTTACTGGGTCTACCAGTAACATATGTTTTGGTTCCTGGAAGGCATGGTACAGAAAGCTAAATTGCTTTACCTGACACCAAAGAGATATCCTTCAGTATCTGGGGAGCAAAGATGTCCCTGTTGTCTAAGGTGCTTCGGTTTGCTGTGCTGAGTTATGTCCCATAGGCAGCCAGAAACCAATTTTATGTTGAAATACCAAATTTGAAATGATTAATTTTCTAGGTTTGTCAGGACCATGCCCGTTGGTTTCAGCTCATGGGTTTCACCAAAAGTTGTAAACATTTAAGGGGAGGTGAAATGGGGTTTAACATTGAGTCAAACATTATTGCACAGTGCTAGCCCACTGAGATACCATGCCGCAGTTTAGCATGAATACCCTATTCAGAAACACTATACTGACTCTGAGCCGACCAGTCCTTGTTTTAGCCCCATATGCCGAGCGCCAGTCAGGGTAACAACAAATAACATCTTTCAGCGTCTTTTGGTTTGATGAGGCTGGGGTTCAAACCCGGACCTTCCGCTCTCCCGTTCTACCACTACACCATAGAGACAGTCCTAGATCATGTTGGGCTTTCCTCCGGCATCAAGCTGACACCATGGTGTCATTGAAATAATGTTCAAAGCAGCATTTAAACAAACTTTCAGTATCTGAACTTAAGTGAGGTTGATTGAATCTTGTTTAATGCCAACATTTGCCGACATTCCAATCATATAATGGCAGTCTGTAACTTATCAAGTTTGTTCCAGGCCAACCAGTGTTTGATACCATGAACACTGTCCCCTGTAGTCACACAATGACACACAATCTGTCAGGTCAAACATTGTAACCAACAAGTCCTCATACTGTTCTCTGACAAGGAGATGGACTTAAACATTTTCCCGCAACCCCTACAGGTTATCAAAATGGATTGGGGTGGGGGGAGGATCATATGTACAGGTGTTGGTTCTAAGAAGCCAAATACAGGTGTTACTTATCTCAGTGTAGGAAACTAGTTCGGTTAGGATGTTTTCCACTTTGAAAATTATCACTTTCAAAGTTGGGGGCCCAGGTGGCCCAGTTGTCTAAGGCGCCAGATTCACTGTACAGAGTTGCATCCCTTGGGCACGCCAGAAACCTATGATTGTAGGTTCGAATCCCGCTTTGCCACGATTATGTTTCTAGGTTTGTCAGCACCATACCCGTGCTTGTGGGTTTCACCGCAGTGGTAAACGTCTGCAACCTGCATCACTTCAGGCTTTCCTCCCACATTAAGCTGACACGCCGTGATATAACTGGAATACTGTTAAAAGCGGCGTTAAACCCAACTCACTCACTCACCTTTCAAAGTTGTTTTGTGAAAGGGATATCATAGTTTAACTGTGAACGTGACATCACCTTGTCCACAGCTTGTTGTTAGATAATTGAAATTAACTCCTGTAAACCAACATGCTTGACCAAAACAGTTTTTTGATCGATGTTCCCCCCCCCTGAGTGTTAACTGTTTACACCATTTAATCTACACCATGTAATTCATGTCAAAACTCACTTGAACTAGGCTTGGCATTTGTATGTTTGCCAATGAATGATAACCTGTAGGCTGTCAGTAAAATTCATGTTTCATATCTGTTTATTTACTTGCATGATAAATCATTTACTTCCAACTGGCATGGCTTGCATCATGTTGAGTCTGCTGGCTCACGAGGGCATCATTCAAACGGATGTTTACCTGGCAATTGGCAAAACCAGGGGTCATAGATAATGAGATAATATCACGGACGCACTTTCCCCAGGATGGGGTACAAACAGAGTTAGGGCTGGGAGGGGTGTGGATGATATGATGTGACCATCGGTGCACCTTCCCCGTCGTGAGTATGAACAGAGTTAGGGTTGGTTGTGTGTGTGGATAATGTGATATGACAATGGGTGCACCATCCCGGTCGTGAGTATGTACAGAGTTAGGGTTGGGAGGGGTGTGGATGATGTGATGTGACCATCTGTGCACCTTCCTGGTCGTGAGTATGAACAGAGTTAGGGTTGGTTGTGTGTGTGGATAATGTGATATGACAATGGTCACACCTTCCCGGTCATGGGTATGAACAGAGTTTGGGCTGGTGAGGAGTGTGGATGATGTGATATGACTACAGGTGCACCTTCCTGGTCGTAGGTACGTACAGAGTTAGGGTTTGGTGTGTGTGTGGATAATGTGATATGACAATCGGTGCACCATCCCGGTCGTGGGTATAAACAGAGTTTGGGCTGGGGAGGGGTGTGGATGATGTGATGTGACCATGGGTGCACCTTCCCAGTCGTGAGTATGTACAGAGTTAGGGCTGGTGAGGAGTGTGGATGATGTGATATGACTACAGGTGCACCTTCCCTGTCGTAGGTACGTACAGAGTTAGGGCTGGGGAGGGGTGTGGATTTTGAGATATGACTTTGGCATGTGTTTTTGTGTATAATTATCTAGTGGTATCCTAGGGAACCATTCATGCCTGAAGTTTGTGTAAAGAAGGGTTGTCAGCCATCTTGGATTACTTTTTCTCCTGGGAGATAACCATTTGGCTCCTGTGTTGTGTAAGTCTACTGCCACTTTTGCCTATTGTAATGTAGGTATTGTCCTTTCTCGTAATAACCTTTTGGGAGGTTGTTTTTTTTCCTTATAAGACTTCATCCCAGGTATGAGGTTTTACTTTTTCCAAGTAAGACCTCATGAGTTGAGTAGCAGATGAAATTGGACTTGGTGTTTCAGTATTCAAATGCATCACATCGTGTCAGCTTAATATGAGAAGAAAGCCCAAAGTGATGCAGGTCTCTGATGTTTACCACTTTTGTGAAATTCACGAGCACAGGTATGGTGCTGACAAACCTAGAAACATTATCAGGGCTAACCAGGATTCAAACCCGCAGTCGTAGGTTTCGGGAGTGCCAAAGGGATGCAACTCTGCACAGCGAATTGAGGCGCCTTAGACAACTGGGCCAATCATGCCGCCTTTTGTGATGTCAAAACCAGGTGAAGACTTTGAGGACCTGGGCCAAGCATGTTATTCAAACATATGACTGAATAACCCATGAACAGCTTTTTAATAATGCTTCTGTCAAATGAGATTGTAATAGTTTTTGTTGATTACTTCACCAAGAACAAAAGCCATCTAAAAATACTTACTTCCAGATGCAAGTGTTCAGATATGATAGTTCATCTTTTCATGATTGTCTACAGAATCACATTGAGCAGCAAGGTATTACCCCGAGCTGATTCCCTGTGATGAAGCAACATCCCTTGTTGATACTGTTATTTCAATTATCCTTATCTCGGACTACCATCTTCATGTTATGACCACTATTACCGACGTCCAAGCATTGATAGCGTCTGAATTACCCTTATCAGTCTCCCATCAGGTGTATTGACGTGGGGAATCAATAAATTGTGCCAGATTTACAGATATCACTGTTTCATGTTTGCGGCACATCACTGAATTGGGGTGACTCACAAATCGCCCTCTGCATCACAGTCTACCGTTACTCTTGAGTCATGGTTTATGCTATGCAATAAGAATTGACAGAACACAAAGGTCAGATTCCTCATATGGCTTTGAACATGATGGAGTTAGTCTAGGAAGATACATAAACTGGTTCTAGTCAATGAACAGGCAGAAATTCATTTTTTACTCCCTGAATTGGTTGGGATTTTTACGACTGATCAGAGTATGAGTTACATGTTTTTATGTTTTAGGTCTTTTACCGATGACTGATAAGGAGGCCTTTGGGAGTTGGGTAGTTTTACTATTCTTCATGCCTCCTTAGCTTTGGTATATATCATCTTATGCCTTTTCTCCGGAATGAACTCGGCTTTTAACTGATGACAGATAAGACGACCTCAGAAAGTCAGACATTTTATCTGTGAATCAGGCTACTTTATCTTTGGTTCAAATTGACTTTATGATTGTTTTCAATTTCCATCTCGGAATGCGCAATTTCTGAATCAATATGAAGGGTGAAATATAGTCTTTTAATGTCAGTTGGAGCAAGGAATGCAATCGGTACATTGCAACTAAGTTTGAAAGATTTGACACTGCAAAGTTGCTTTTGGTTTGTAGTGGTGTCTTGTCATATGGTTGACCTTCCTATTCATTCTTCTGAAGGGGCCTGGCACTGTGATCCAAGATGTAACCATTAGCTCTGCAGAGTTTTATCCCTTAGCTGTTCAAGGATCAGCTGGTATTTGGTTCAGATCCCTAATTTTCCTTGGTTGTGATCCTTGGTTTGTCAGCACAGCATTTGTGCTGGGGGGTTTCACTGAAGTAATGTCTACAACCCGGTCACCTTGGACGTTCCTTGAACTGAGCTGCAAATATGTGGTTTATTCAGCAGGTTAAAACTCACTCATTCACTGTATCCTTCACTCTATTCAGTCCTTCACTCATACACTCACTATCTCACTCACTCACTCATACACTCACTATCTCACTCACTCACTCACTCACTCACTCACTCACTCACTGTATCCTTCACTCCACTCAGTCCTTCACTCACTCACTCACTCACTCACTCACTCACTCACCCACTCACTCACTGTATCCTTCATTCCACTCAGTCCTTCACTCACTCACTCACTCACTCACTCACCCACTCACTCACTGTATCCTTCATTCCACTCAGTCCTTCACTCACTCACTCA